CCCCCCCCAGACCTGCCTCGTCTGCGCCCGAAGGGGAAGCCTTCTTCTTCGCCTCTAACCTTAAGTCGGGCCTGTCCCTCTACAGGGGGAATATTTAAAAATAGTCAAACATAATACGGGAATTATGTTTGGAGTATTTTTAATCATTTTCGAAGTATTTCAGGGGTATTTTTTTCCGTCGAACCCCACGCGGTCCCGTCAGAGGGGGGGGGCGACAGCGCCCGCGCGGGTGGGAGTCTGGCGCGCGGAAGCCGCGCCGCAATCGGTGGAGGTCTCGCTCTGCGAGAAGTGGCGCTCAGAGCCTCTGAAGGGTTTAGCCCGCCGCGAAGTGCCCAGGATGAAGTCCCATCGGATCCTCCGGGAGATCGCCGGGGTCTCCAATGAAACTGGCAGGACTCCGTTCAGAAGGAGCGCCCTTCGGGATTCCGGCGGAAACCATATAAGATTCACAGGGGTATCCTCAGCATTCTGAACGACATTTTTGGGATCGCCAATGAATTCCTTTTTTGAGGGGGATCTTCGGCATTGCATCGGATCTGCGTCCAATCCTTTTGTGAACCTCAGGTTCACTGAGCAAGTCCAAAGGATTCGTCTTGAATTCCTGAAGATCCCCTCGGCCCTGAGGATTCCTGAGGAACTCCTTGGGACGCCTCGAGGAAACAGAGGTATCTCTCAGGAACTCCCCAGGGCTCTGGGGGGAATCCCGAGGACTTCTCAAAGGATCGCCCGGGTTTCAGAGGCGCTCTCTCCCCGGAAGGCGCTCGGCTTCCGGGCGGTATATCCTCAGCAGCACACAGGACACCGCAAATGCTCTCTTGAGATTGCTTGGGGGGGGGGATGGCTCAGGGAATCTGCGGGGCTCCCGAGGGAGGGCTGCGAAGGCGGGGCCCTCAGGAGCAGAAGCTGCAGCTATGGGGCCCGCCCGTCGGGGCCCGCGGGCCAGCTTGCTTGCTGGGAGGGTGCGGGAGCCTCCGGAGCCTCGCCTCTGCGCGTGGAGCCTCACCGGGGAGCCCCGCCGGGGCCGCTCGGAGCCGAGGCAAGGAAGACCACACAGGACGAAGGATACGCAGCCCTTGGCATCGCTCGGACGTGTGCAGTTTTCGTAAGCGAGAACCATCGAGGACCATCCTGGACCATCGAGCAACAAAAGACACGCACGAGGACGAACAATGCACGGGAAATGGACGTCCGAGCGACGGCAAGGGCCGGCCTCCTTGCGCCGCCTGGAAGCAGGCGAGCTTACCCTCGTCCGACACCCGTCGACCGTCCGGCGTTTCGCCGAACACACTCCGACCAGATGCCGCTCGTGGCTGACGTTGCGCAGTCGGATGCGACACTCGCTCTGGGGAGGAGATCTGGCAAGCCTACACTCGGCCCGAATCAGTAGGTCGACCCTCCCAAATCAAGTTGCCAATCAAGAGTACCCTCGTGTCCATTGTCTCGCGACCCATGCCTCGGTCATTCCTGTGACAATGTGGCCCTCGGAAGGGTCTTGTGTCCTCTCGTGCGTCCTGTCCACTGAAAGCCGACTCTGGGACAGAATCCCTCCACAGCGTTCAGAACGCCCAGAACCCCTCGGCACGCCCCGGAAGGGCCGCGGCGCCCGCGGCGTCCTGCAGATCCGCCGGCGAGCTGGTGAGGCTTCGGGCTGCGCACAGACAGCCCCTCCAGGTGTAGTCCGAGCTGGACTCGACAGGACCCCGAGTATTAGCCAGAGGCGGTCTCAACACCCCGGCCGGGGGCACCGAGCGCCCCAGGGGCGCCGCCAGAGGCGGCCTTGGAGTGTTCAGATCGCCCTGGGCCACTCGGGGGGCCTCACCTGGGGGAGCTGTCTGTGCGCAGCCCGAAGCCTTACCACCCCCAGCAGAGTTGAACGCTCAAAGGCATCCGTCCCCTTCCTCTTCCTCCTCTTCCTCCTCCCTCCCGAGGCGCCGCTGTCCTGGCGACAGTGCCGCCCGAAGGGCTTGGGGCACATGAGCTGCTGGCGGTTGCTCCGTCCCGTCCTCCTCCGCCTTCTCCGCTCTGCGCTGCGCCGTCAGCAGAGGTCAGCGCGAGGGCGGCTGGGCGCGGTCAGCGGAGGTGTGTTGCCCTCTCGGTCTGGGTCGGCCTGCGGCCCGCAGGCCGGAGGGAGCTTGGCGTTCTCGAGACGACAGCGCCGGTTTTAATACATGCTCCGCGTGCGGATCATATATGTATAAAAATAAAGGGATTCAGTATTACAAACAATCATGAGTTTATGCCTTGGTTCATGAGTAATTCTTCATGTATGAAAAATAAGATGTATTAAACAATTCCATGTATTAAAACCTGCCCTGGAGTATGTGGCGCGCCTCCAGGCGACGGACGGCGGCGCGCCCGCGCCCGATCGGTTCCCTCAAAAGGCGCCCGCGGCTTCTCGCAGGGTGGCGGCTCCTACCTCCTCGACTGCGGCACGCCCCTGTTCGCGGAGCCGCCGCCCCGCAGCCCCGGCGCAGGCGGCCCTCTCTCTCCGTTGATCCTCGTTCTCGCTCGTACACCTCCTCCTCCTCCTGCTTCTCCTCCTCCTCCTCCTCCTGCTTCTCCTCATCCTCCGCCTCTCATCCTCGTCCTCCTGCTTCGCCGTCCTCCTCCCCCTCCTCTCCCTTCGGTGCCTTGCCTTCCCGCCTCCTCCTCCTCCTCCTCCTCCTCAACCTCCTCCTCCTCCCCCTTCCCCCTCCTCTCCTCCTCTCCTCCTCCTCACTTTCTCCTCTTCCTCCCCCTCCTCCGCATCCTCGTTTTAATCTTGACCGCCGTGATCCTTGGGTGCGTCGGGGCGTGAACGGTTGAGCCTGGAGGGGGTACTTTGTGGCCTCCCCGTCCTTCCATGGTCGTCGTCGTTCGGGCGTCTTCGGGGCGACGGATTTCCCGCATGTACCACCTCGCTCTCCTGTGCTCCGGCTTCCTCCGTCTCCCGTTTCCACTCTCCCTTCTCAATCACGCATGGGATGTTTAAAACAGTTCTAGTCTCCTCCTCCTCCTCCGCCTCCTTCTTCGCTTCCCCCTCCTCTCCTTACCACGCAATGATGTAACAGTTCTAGTCTTCTCTTCTTCCTCCTCCTCTTCTTCATATCACGCAATGATGTAACAGTTCTAGTGGATGCTGGAGTCCGCTCGAACCTCGAACGCGTTTGTTGGGTGGTTTCTTGGGTTTCAGGGTCGGATGCCCCTCATGCGAAACTCACCCCTTTATTATTCTGCCCCTCTGCCCACTTCGCACTCCGCTCTATTTCTGACCCATCTCTCTCACTGTCTCTCTCTTTCTCTCTATCTATATCCCTCTGTCCCTCTCTCGCACTCTCACCCTCTCAGCCTGGTGCTTTGGACCTGGGCACTCGAGGTCTCTGAAGTCTTCGAAGGGCTTGGCTCCCAGTCCACTGGTGGTCCTGGGGGGGGGTGCAAGGCAAATCGCTCCAAGACAAAGAAAATCAAGCAACTTGTCCTGTCGAAGGACCCAACCACGTATGCAGTTGTGACTATCGCCGTGGTGGGTATCGCAATGGATCTCCCTCTGGGGCCGCGAAGCGTGTGACGGTTGTGCCGAAATGGGGCGGGGCCCCCGTGAGGGCGCTGTTATTGGGACCTTGGGTATATCCCCCCCTGCGGGACCACGAAGCGCGTAAGGGGTGTGTCGAAATGGGGCGGGGCCGCCGTGCGAGAGTCGCCACCGGGGCCTTCGGTGGAGCTCCCTCTGGGGCCACGAAGCGTGCGGTGGCTGTGCCGAAGTGGTCGGGGTGGGGACGCGTGCGAACGTCGCCAACGACCTGCCACGAACCGTGTGAGGGGTGTGCCGAAGTGGGCGGGGGTGGGGGCGCATGCGAACGTCGCCAATGGGACCTTCGCTGGAGCTCCCTATAGGGCTACGAAGCGCTGTTCTGAGTAGGGCGGACGCATGCGAACGTCGCCACTGGGGCCTTCGGTGGAGCCTCCTTTGGGCCACGATGCGCTGTACCAGGTGGGGCGGAAGCATGCGAACGTCAACATTTCGGCATTCGGTGTGGAGCTCCCTATGAGGCCACAAAACGCTGTGCTGGGTGGAGCGGACGCACTCGAACGTCGCCATTGGGGCCTTCGGTTGAGCTCCCTATGTGGCCACGAAGCGCTGTATTGGGTGGGTTGGGCGCAAGCGAATGTCGCCGCTTGGGCCTTCGGTAGAGCTCCCTGTGGGGCCACCAAGCTCTGTGCTGGGTGTGGCGGACGCATGCGAACGTTGCCATTGGGGCCTTCGGTGGAATTCCCGACTGGCCACGAAACGCTAAGATGGGCGGGTCGGGCGCATGTGAACGCCGCCACGGGGACTTCTCTGGAACTCCCTGTGGGGCCACGAAGCGTTGTACTGGGTGGGCCGGGCGCATGCGAGCGTCGCCACTGGGGCCTTCGGTGAAGCTCTACATCGGGCCACGGAGAGCTGTGCTGGGTATTACGGACGCATGCGAACGTCGCCGGTGGAGCTCCTGGATGGGGCCGACGCATGCGAATGTCGCCACTGAGGCGTCCTGTGGAGCTCCCCATTGGGCCACGAAGCGCTGTACTGGGTGGGGCGCACGCGTGCGAGCGTTACCACTGGGGCCTTCGGCGGAGCTACCCATGGGGCCACGGAGCGCTGTAGTGGGTGGGGCGGACGCATCCGAACGTCGCCGTGGGGGTTATTGGTGGCACTCCCTATGTAGCCACGAAGCGCTGTACTGGGTGGGCCTGGCGCATGCGAACGTCGCAATTGGGCCTTCGGTGGAGCTCTCTATGGGGCCGCGAAGCGCTGTGCTGGGTGGAGTGGACGCATGCGAACGTCGCTGTGGAGATCTTCGGTGGAGCTCCCTGTGGGGCCACGACGCGGTGTACAGGTGGTGCGGACGCATGCGAGCATCGCCACTGGGGCCTTCTGTGGAGTTCCCTATGGGGCCGCGAAGCGCTGTACTGGGCGGGGCGGACGCAACCGAACGTCGCCATTGGGGCCTTCGATCGAGCCCCCTTTATGGGGCCACGAGGCGCTGGACTTGGTGGGGCGGACGCAGGCGAACGTCGCAAATGGGACCGTCGCTGGAGCTCCCTCTAGGGCCACGCAGCGCTGTGCTGGGTGGGGCAGGCGCATGCGAACGTCGCCACGGGGGCCTTCGGTGTAGCTCCCGGTGGGGCCACGAAGCGCTGTCGTGGGTGGGGCAGACGCACGAAACCGTCGCCACTGGGTCCTTCGGCGGAGCTCCCCATGGGTCCACGAGGCGCGCGCGGTGTGGTCGACATGCGGCGAGCAGAGGTGCGCAGGGCAGGAAGGGGGGAGGAGGAGGGGGAGGAGGGAAGTAGATGCTGGGCGCTGCCTCTTCAAAACGAGAACGCAACACCACAGGATGGTTTTGGAAAAAATTACGCTACCGAGTGACCCCACATACTTATACTATGGCTGGGGTGATGATAGCTGAAATGAAGCATGTGAGAATGATGTTGGTGGCCGTTGCTCCCCCGGTACCGTTGGTGACGCCAGTTAAGAGGAGTGAAAGCCCGCGCGGCGAGGCCATCGTTGGCGTGGCCTTCAGGGGCGTGGTCTTCGTAGGAGTGGCATGATGTCTTGAGGACGGTGCCGGGTCAGCGCCCGCGATGCTGGCCTCCTGCGGTCGCCGAACCTTCGTGAGCGGCGGGCCATCGTCCGCCCCCTCCTCCCCTGCCGAATCGGAAGAAGCGTCTCGTAGAAATCCGCCCGAAGAAGGGTTTATCAAATACCTCACCAAACACTGCCTCCTGGCATCGTCGGCGCTTCGTTGACGCGGCAATTGATAGTACCTGGTGAGGAACGTCTCGGGCCACCAGTTTAGAAGCTGTCGCTGGTACGCATGTACTGCGTAGTGTATCAAGCCGGTCCCATGCCTTTCAAGACATGTGCGCAAACCATTTAAACTAACCTCGGCACCGACGACGGGAAGTCACCGTGTCTATGATCACCCTTGGCGGCCAGAGCAAGAGACTGTTGCTCCAGCTAAAAGTGCCCTCTACGCAACCCTTGGACGACAGGTTCGGATAGCGGCCGCGCTCAAGGACCACCCCCGTCGCACTCCCTGTGGCGTCGAGAAAGTGCCACGCCTGCTATGCCTTGGACGACCGGCTCGGGTAACTGCCGCGCACAAAAACCACCCCTTGCGCCCCCCCTATGGTGTCGAGAATGTGCCACGCCTACTATGCCCTAGACGACCTGCTCGGATAGCAGCCGCGCTCAGACACCACCACCTGCGAACCCCGTATGGTGTGGAGAAAGTGCCACGCGTGCTACGCCGTGGACGACTGGCTCGGACAGCGGCCGCGCTCACAGACCACGCCTTGCGCCCCCCCTATGGTGTCGAGAATATGCCACGCCTGCTACGCCGTGGACGACTGGCTCGGATAGTGGCCGCGCTCAGAGACCACCCCCTGCGCACCCCCTATGGCGTCGAGAATATGCCACGCCTGCTATGCCCTGGACGACTGGCTCGGACAGCGGCCGCGCTCACAGACCACGCCCTGCGCACCCCCCATGGCGTCGAGAATATACCACGCCTGCTATGCCCAGGACGACCGGTTCGAATAGCAGCCGCGCTCAAAGACCACGCCGTATACGCACCCCCTTTATGGTGTGGAGAGAGTGCCACGCCTGCTACGCCGTGGACGACTGGCTCGGATAGCGGCCGCGCTCAGAGACCACCCCATGCGCACTCCTTACGGTGTCGAGAATACGTCTGCCACGTTTTGCGAGCCCGCAAGGGAGGTGAGTGAGACCCGGGTGCCCCGCGGGTGGGAAGAAAACAATAACCCCATTAAGCATGTGGGGAACAGGACATCGGGATCGGAAAGAAAGGGGACGAAGACGAGCGGCAGTTTCTGCTTTTCTTGAGCAGGACTCGCCGTCGGTGCCGCCGCAGACGTGGATCATTCGAGACAGAGATTGGCTGCCCAGCAGCGGCCGCTGTTGGTTTTGAATCACGTCCGCTGCTGGGCATCGTGCCGATTCCTCCCGCATCCGTGGTGGGCGTGCCAGGGGGAGGGGGAGGACGGGGGCGAGGACGAGGCCCGGCCCGAAAGAAAGGGGGGGATACGGAAGGGGGGGGGGGTACGAAATCTGCTGCATGCAGCTGGTTTCGGTCCCGCCGCCGGGCCCATCCCTCGATACATCGGCGCCTCCCGGCGCAGGGGGGCGCTGGAAAAATCGGCTACGCGAGCTGATTCTCACCCCCCCCCTTTGCTATCCCCCCCTTCCGCCCGGCCCGAGAGACCCTCGAGGGAACGCAAACATGGATTCGGGCGCGCGGGTCGGCGGCGGGTCCCGCTTCCGGGCGGCGTCTCGGCCCGCCTCGTCGCCACGCCGGGCGCCTCGCCGGCTGCATGTCTCGGGTTAGTGCGCTCCCCGAGCCGCGGCGCAGTTTCTCAAGCCGCTTCCATGCCTGTCAGCGTGTGTACGCAAACCATCTAAACTGACCTCGGCACCCATGGCGGGAAGCCA